AAAAAAAAAAAAAAAATACCATGAAAGTACATCTGAACAAGTTTTTAAAAACAAATTTAAAATTTTAGATGACACAATAACAGTTTAATTGCAATTTAACATTAGTAGTACTAAACCTTTTTGTAATGTTTAACTAGTGCAAAACAAGTTTCTTTTTTCTTTTTTTTTTTTCTTTTTACGATTTTATTTTCAAATAATCTCTACACCCAGCAAGAGGCTGGAACTCACAACCCTGAGATCAAGAGTTGCATGCTCCACCGACTGAGTCTGTCAGGCTCCCTGCAAAAAAGTTTCTTGTTCTGAAATGATTATAAATTGAATTTTTTTCAAACTTTTAAATAATATTTAAGTTAACAACAACAAAATCTACATTTGCTTTACCAAGAAAGATCACAAATCCCAGGAAGAGAAAAAAACAAATGTTCATTATATCCAGTGGTAGAAATTAGGCAAATTGAGGGACAGGAGGGTCAGATCACCATTAGATAAACATTCATTATGTTCCACATATGCATGTTCTTAATCAGCACTTAACTCTATCTGATATGTAAAAATGCAAAGGAAACAACAAATTCCAATATATGAATGTGATTCCAGATTTACTACAGATACTGCTGTGGCGGCAATCTGCAGGAACCTCTAATGAGGCTTCAGTGTCTGAGGTTTAAGACCCCTACAGGGTCCTGGGGTTTTGCCAAATAAGTTTTATATTTGCAATACTTCCAATGATTGATAGAGCAGATAAAAAGAGGGATAAGGAAAAGATGAGCTTTTTAACATCTTCTTCCTCATTTATAAAAATCTTTGAGTTGTGCCGTTTGATTTTTTATTATTTATATATTTTTAATGATTTTATTTATTTACTTGAGAGAGAGCAAGCAGAGCACGAGCGGGGACAGGAGCAGAGGGAGAGGGAGAAGCAGACTCTCCGCTGAGCAGGGACCTGGTCGCAGGACCCCGGGATCATGTCCTGAGCTGAAGGCAGACACTTCACTGATTGAGTCACCCAGGCTCCCCTCAGTCTGATTTTTTAAAAAATCAATTTACTCTTGCTCCTTCACCATAAAATTCTTCCAGGCTTTAAATACAGATGAGATAAAAGGTATCTTTTGTCTTAAGGTGGGTAAAAAGACAAAAATCAACTTTCTATTTTTTTTAAAAGATTTATTTATTTGAGAGAGAGAGAAAGTTGGGGGGAAGGGCAGAGAGAGAGAAAATCTTCAAGCAGACTCCCCACTGAGTGTGGAGTCTGATGCAGGGCTTGATGTCATGACCCTGAGGTCCTGACCTGAGCTGAAACCAAGAGTTGGATGCTTAACTGACTGAGCCACCCAGGCACCCCTAACTTTCTATTTTTTTAATCAAAATGTTATCTTCATAAAAATTCTAAGAACTTAAGAGTCTTATTTGTTATATATTGATATTTAATATATATATGTATATACATATATAAAAGACTCATGTTTGGATTTCTTTAACAGTTTGCTGTTTATTGTACTTTTTATTTTTTTTTTAAATTTCCTAGTTTTTATTTTTAAAAATTATATGAAAAGTTCTCATTCATAACCCATATAGATAGTTCTCGGTAGAACAAAGTGTATTTTTACCTGGAATTTAGATAATATTTTTTGAACTAGGTTAAAATGTCTTACTTTTTCCAGTAATTGTCATCTTCCTTTTACCAATGAGAAAACTGAGAAATAGGGAGGTTTAAATTAGCTTTCCAAAATCACACCATTGGTAAATGATGGGTCTGATTCTAGAACCCATGTATTTATGTGACAATATATTTAGCATTCTCCTAAATATTTTATCTGGTCCTGTTCCATAGGCTGTTCAGATACTATTATTTCCTTTTTATGTGGCCTAGGACACAGAGTCTATATATATAATAGTTGTAGGGTTTATAGGAGTAGAAGGGCTTCCCTAGAGTTAAGGCAACATCTCCAAAGTGCAAAGAGTATGAAACTGTGGCATGCTTGGAAACACAGTCAACTGTCTAGAAACCTTCAGTGGGCAGAAACTGAACCACAGCACTTTTTGGCAGTTTGTCACTGGGAAAATGAAATAATAAAAATATATAACATTTATTAAGCACTTACTATGTGCTTGGCACTGTTTTAAGTGTTTTAACTGCATTAGCCCATTTAATCCTCACAACAATGAGATATTATGTCACACAGCAAATAAGTGCAAATCCAGGCATTCTGGTTCACGAGAATGAGCTCCTAACCGGTCTGCTTTAGGGAGAGAAAGCTGGCAGTATGTATAGGATATACTAAAACAGGCAGTGACTAGAAACAGGGGAAGCAGTTTGCTTGTGGGAAAAAATATTCAAAATGAGTTTCTAAGACATAATAGACATTTAGCAGCATGCCACATAAAGTCTTTGGACAACTCTATTATGCATTTAGTCAATATTACTCATTAAAATGTTTGCTAATTTCACCAACAAAAATGATCAGTTTAATTATGTGCTTTAGATAGTCTCCAGGATTCATAGCTATTTAGAGCTAGAGGAAATTGCAGAGATGTTCTAGTTTAATCCTGCCTGTGTCAGAAAGATAAATTGAGAAGTCCTCTTTCTTCTATCATGTTTCCCCTCCCAGTTTCACTGACCTTTATTTTATCAACTGGCTAAAATTTACAGAGAATGTAGAACTTGCTGCTCTTTATAAGTTATTACAGGTTACAAAATGGAAAGCATGAGATAGAATTATTATTATAGGTTTATGGAGCATTATTGAATCACTAAGTTAAGTTATTTTGCAGACTAATCACAGATCTATATCCCACACATGGGGATATATCTGTCCAGGTCTTCTGGGAGGCAGATATGAAGATGGAATTACAAAAGCTTTATAGGGGGAAATGCAGGTAGGGGAAACAGGCTGGAAGAGAAGAAGTGTGGGGCAGCACCTCACGCTGGGATGTAGGTCAGCTGTCTGTGAAGAGCGGGAGGAAAAGAGAAGCATCGAGAAGGAGGAAACTCAGAGAACAGTGCAGCTCGGAGGGTCTCCCAAGCCCACACAGAGCCCCGGAATGAAGACTGCCATTGAGGAATCCTGCATTGAGCAGGGAGGGCCTGACTCCAGTCCCCTTGCAGTGGTTAGTCATTGAGGGGAGCGTGTCCCATGCATAAAGGCTGTAGTGGGTCCTGAAGGGGGAGGCTGTCTGCCTGCTGCAGTCCTGGCAGCAGGGAGATCCGAGCAGGCACTCCCATGATGCCACAGTGGGGTAAACAACAGTTTGCTGGTAGTAAAGAATAAAGTGCTTGCAGCAGTTTAGATTATAAGTATGCCATGCTGCCACACTTTGAGCTTTTTTTCAGATGCTGAGAAAACTTCTCAAATCCTATTTGTCATGTCTCTTCATTTGTATCACTTAGCTATTCCTAAAGCAGCATTATTTTCAAGAAAACCTTCCAAAGTTAGATGTTGATCAGACTGAACATTTGATATTGGCTTCTGGAGAGGAGACGGTATTCAAATAATCAAACTCTTTCTTCTAAGATCTTTTGATAGATCACTCATTCATTTGTGCACAGGCATTTACTACAAGAGGGATATATGTTAAAATATGAGCATGTGAAAGGGGTTGTTCCAGGAGCTGCGCATATTTTAGAAAGTCTAGAGATCAGGATGCTTATGGCGTTTGTTAGCAGATGAAGCTGGGGCTATAAGCAAGGAACAGGATCTTAAATGGCTTTACCTGCTCTGCTACAGAATTTGCATTTTATCTTAAAAGTGATGGAGAGCCCTACAGAACTTTTAGGCATGAGAATGACAAGGTCAGATTCATGGTTTAGAAGGAATACTATGGTGGCCATGCAAATAGAGACCAATTACGAATTTCTAACTGTAATCCAGAAGAGAAATGAAGACATAAACTAAAACACTTAAAGAGTTTGGTGATTAATTGGATATTGAATGATCAGAAGAGGGAAAAGACAAGATGACTTCATATTTATAGTCTATACCCTTGCTCCTCAAAATGTGGACTAGAATCAGCAGCAGCAGCATCACTCGGAGCTCACAAGAAAAGCAGGTGTCGGTCCCCATTCTAGACCAACTGGATCAGAAACCACTTTTCCAAAAGATTCCTAAGTGTTTTGAATGAGCACTGAAGTTAGAGAAACATTGGTCTACCTCAAGGGTCAGTGAACTCATTCTGTAAAGGGCTAGGTAATAAATATTTTTGGATTTGTGTGTATAGTCTCTGTTATTCCTACTTAACTTGACTATTGTAACATAAAAGCAACCAAAGACAGGGGCACCTGGGTGGCTCAGTCGTTAAGCGTCTGCCTTCTGCTCAGGTCATGATTCCAGGGTCCCAGGATTGAGCCCTGCATCGGGCTCCCTGCTCTTCTCCCTCTCCCACTCCCCTTGCTTGTGTTCCCTCTCTCACTGTGTCTCTCTCTGTCAAATAAATAAATAAAATCTTAAAAAAAAAAAAAACAACCAAAGACAATACACAAATGAATGTATCTGTGTTCCAATGCAATTTTACTAATGGACACTAAACTTGAATTTTATATAATTTTTACATGTCAAAAAAATCTTCTTTTGACTTTTTACAACCATTACAAAAAATGTAAAACCACTGTAAGCTCCTAGGCTTTACAAAAACTGGTGGCAGGCCAGGTTTGACCCCTGGGCCATTTTTGCCAACACCTTGTCTAGGTGATTGAGTGAGTGAGTGATGGGCCATTTACAAAGTTAGGAAATACAGGGAGAAGAACAATTTGTTGGTGGTATGTGTTGTAAAACATTCAAATAACTCTAGATACTGGAGGCTAAACAAGCTTGATTAGAAAGCTTTTATCATTTCGTTCCTGGAAATCTTACCTGTTCTCTATGTGTCTCTGGTAACTTCTGGTTTATCCAATGAGTTTCTTTGCAGTGAGGATAGAGAAAACCAGTCCAGGATATTTCACATGGTAGGCACTCAAGGTGTGTTTGATTGATGCCATTGAAACAGAGTATTTTATCTTATAAACTAGAAATTTCAAGCACCATTGTAGGAAATGTCTTTTTCTTTTTTTTTTTTTTTAAATGAAGTGAAGAGTTCTGTCTACACTGTCTTAGGCAGTAAGCCATAGTTCAGGTAAAAACAGTAAATATGGCTTTTCCGTGCAGATGTTAGTTATGGTGTGTTAATGCCCGGCCTTTTCTTATTTTTCTCCTCCAACTCACAGCTTTCTCCATCTCTGGGGAAAACAGCCAAGTGGTCATGATTGCCATTTCGGCGGCTGTGGCCATTATCCTGCTCACGGTCGTCACCTACGTCTTGATCGGGAGGTGAGTTCACGGGCTCTTTTACCACTTACTTTCATTATTGCTTTGCCTGCTCCCTCAGTGGCTGCCAAAATCCGAAGAGTGTGGTCCATGAAGTATTTTAACAGATAAGCATGTCTCCACTTAGATCTAGATCTTTCTTTCTTCCCCTCCCTTTCTTTTGTTTCTTCATCTTTAGTTTTGATTTTCTTTCTTCCATTAAATTCCTGCCCCACTCTTCAACACATTCCAGTTCTCCTCTCCCTTTTGACCTCACTTGTAGGTTTAACTTTCTTTTTCCAATTATCCTCTCACCCTTCAAATACGCCCCAGATTTCCCTGCCACTTTCTCACCCAGAACACTGGTAATGCGGCACCGCACTAATCACTAACAATGGAGACTTTACCCTTCATTCATTCTAACAGCAGTTGTTAAAAAAAAAAAAAAAAAAAACCACTATAAACACTTTCTAAGGCCATTATAAAAACTGAGCTGAAGGGGTCTGCACAGTGGGGAAGCAACTCTACATATCTCCTCATTAGGCAGCTTTCCAGAGTCCCCAGAGAAAGAGGCTTTCTATAAAGGATTTAGAAAATATGAAGTCATTAAACTTTCACTAAAGCATTTAATTGTTTGAGGAAAATGCTTTATTTTTTTGTGCTTTGCACATTCTGAGCATAGATAATTGCTTTAAGTATATTTTCTTTCTGTGTTCTCTTCCCTTGACTTACCTCCAGGTTCTGTGGCTATAACAAGTCAAAACACAGTACAGATGAAAAAAGGCTTCATTTCGGGAATGGACATTGTAAGTTCCTAAGCTGTTTTGGTGCTTTGGATTTTGTATTTCAGTTTTTCCAGTTATTGATTTATAATTGGATAACTTCCCCACAAAGAGAATGCAAAAGTAGTCCTATGAAAGAATTGAGCAAAATTAAATTAATTTTAAATGGAGAGGGAAATTCATGGCTCTGCATTAATTTTTACATGGCCACATTTCAGCATACTTAAGCCAAAATGAAGGATAACCTGTGGTTTCTTTCCAGATAATGCACATAATGGAGAGTATGGACCATAGTCAGCTCTGCGTGGCTGAAAGGCAAAGCGTATCTTCAATTGCCTCATTTCTCGTCCTTTGCTAAAATCTAAATAGGCACCTTTTCCCTTTCCTAACTTCCAAATAAATATAAACAACTTCTGTTTATGTGAAATGCCTTACTCTGTTTTGTCAACCAACCAGGAGAGAGCCTTTAAAATAAACTGTATATTTTGGAGTCACATGATATCCAACTAGTAGGAAAGCCTGCACTTTTCCCTCATATTTTAATACCAATCAGTTTAGTGTCTTTTTAATATTTTCTAAAAGAAATACTTTTTTTAGGAAATGAAGTGTTTATATCTAATAAGAAGACTCTTTTTTTTTTCCTTCTTCTGGCAAAACAAATCATCCCAAGCGTTTTGATTTTCCAAACTATGACTCAATTTAATGTGGCAATTACTAATCAGTGGACTCAAATGGAATAGCATGTTCTTATGGAAATTAGTACAGGCTATCCTCATACTTATGTGCTCTCAAGTAGTCTCAATATAACTAATGTGGTCTTGTAAGCATTACTTTCTTTGGCATTCACCACTGCCTTGTAAAATTATTTTCAATTCAGCATCATACTTTATATCAGTCATTGGCTTTGCATCTAAAAATTGTAGCTCTAGTTCTAACTCAAATAAAAGCTTGATTTCCTGTTGCTAACATGCAGGGGGCATACAGTAGCTTGCAAAAAAAAAAAAAAAAGAATGTCTTCCAAAATGTAAATTGATGTGACATGAACACAGTGACAGAGTTTACAGAGAGCATTGTTTTCTCTATCTCATTGCAGTCCTTACAGAATAATTCACAAAAGCCAAAGTAGTACCTTCCTAATAGCAGCACCTCATCATTTCAGATTAGTTAGGTTACCAACTCAAAAGTCTTAAAAGAATGGATGAACAAATTACAGGATACTTGTCTAGCTTTTTTCATGGTCCCATAAAAACAGAGTCCCAGTCACCATGCATCAATTAGAGCAGTTACATTCCTGTGGATTAAGCTGTTCTTAATTTGAGTTAGATAGTCAATGTAAATATTGTCTTTAGAGCAAAACCATACTGTTTTTTTTATATCAGAATTGTAAAGCTCATGAATTTGGAACAATGATAAGTTTCTGTATCCCAATTGCAAGCAGGTTCCTCTATCCCTCCAATCTGTTTTAGCTGTTGGTTTTTCTGGTGGGGTTGGTTGAAACGTTAATTTTCTTCAAATGCACAATATCTTTATGACAGACAAACAAAAAAGAATTGCATTTTATCCTAGCTATAAGGGCATAAAGTAACTTATATGCATGTCATAAACTTTCTGCGTCTTAATCCTACAGCTGGTTTATTTCAGACCATTTATTTGGTATTACTTTAAAAAGCTCTAGCTATGAACTATTCCCTCCAGCCTTGTTACAAATCCTATAATATTGCTTCAAAAGGAAAGAAATGTGTTTCACCTCCTAAGATCCTGTGCCCTTGCCCTCTCTGGCTAGGCCTTTTTATTTTTTGCTGTCCTTAGGGCAACTCATGCTGGTAAAATGGAAATGTAAATTATTGTGTTTGCACAGAACGAGCTGTAAAGTAGTGTAGCTTAACACGTGTGCATGTGTTTATTATCTGGTTTTCTTGACACAGCCCAGTTACTCTGTAGGTTGCCCTTAATTATTGGTGTGAAGGGATTATGGGCCTTGTATCCTGCATCACCTGATTCCCGGAACCTCTGGGGTCAGCGGTTAAAAGTCGGCTCCCATAGTGAACAGGCTATTTTGCTTGGGGGTGTGTGTATGTTATATTTGTATTGTTCCCCAAATTCCATGTGGATAGAAAAACAATTTATATGATTTTAATTCATTGCAGTGAATTTGATTGATTTTAGTTGGGAATGACTATTGAATTTTCAGATTATTTAGTAATACATATACTCCTCAGGGCTGCCAGCTATGGGAGGTAACTCTAAGCATACTTTCAAGGCTGTTTAAAACCTGTGCTTATTTAAAATGTTTGAGGCTTTGCTCCTGACGACTCATTTATAATGATCTTTGCAAATTCTGATGCTAGTAAATTGCTTCCAAATTGATTTCCTGGAGGTGAGCAAAGTAAAACATTTGTAATTGTTTACAAGAAAAAAAATTCATTTTGGGGGGGCAGAATTTAGTTTTTACCTTATCTTTAAAAGTGTTTCTTTTTCCTTGAAAAGGAATATTAAATTTCCTTACCTTAATAGTTCCTTACCTTATAATCTACTAGAGATGAATCAAAACAGGATGATCGTATAGCCTAGCTTTCCTTTGAGGTGAGCCTTCATTACAAAAAGATTCTGACACAACTTTATTTCCTGACATATTTTAGTAAGTCTACAGTTACTTTTACTGTTTTCCTTACTCCTAAGCAAGAAAAGTATGAGAGCTTTCCTTAATCTGTTTGCTTGTATTAAGGGTAAAGTGTTTTGGTACTGCTAATATTAGAAATAGGTTTAGTGTACTAATAAACTATAGAAGACCACTGTCCTAAGGAGTGGCTCGGCCATCTGTCTTTATAGGAAGCAATAATGTTTACAATAATGGCAGAAGCTTGCAAACTGATCTGGGAGCTCAAAAGGAATGGACATTTCTGAGTAGGGGGAGTGTTAGCCTTTCTTCTCCATTTGTTCCCCAGTCTCCCAGTCCTACCCTGCAGTCTCAAAATCATCTGAAGGTGTAGCTGAGGAATATCGAATTTTTACTTCCTAACCACCATTTATTTTTATAATCCATTTTTTGCATATGCTTCTATTTCTTTACTCAAAACCTATATGGATACTTTGCAGGAACATAAATTATTAGGTCGTGTAACCATGGCATTCATAAAGAAGTCCTATAGGTCAATAAACTAATCATTTCTCAGCCCACGCTATGAAATGCTAGACCTGTTGGCCTGATGTCTATTGCACTGAAGGCTTTCCAGAATAATTGCTGCCATCAGTCTCTACACTCATTTCATGCAAAGTCCGAAACAGAGTTGAAGAAGTCTTTGGTCATCACAGAATGTTCAGTTGCAATTTGTCATTAAGATTGTTTCATTATAAAATTATACTGGAAAAGACAACATCTGATTTAATTTATTACTTTAGGATTAAAAAAAATGTCAATAATATAGTGTTATAAATGAAAAAATACATCACTGTTAGGCATCCCTGCCCCTTGCTAAAACAATGTTACCAATATTTTTTACCAATGTTACCAAAATTAAAAGTAAAAATCCATCATATTAGTACATATATAATTTCCTTTAATATTAGAGCATGTTCATGTACTTTAGTAGATCCTAGTCTCCCTTTTTTAAAAATTTATTTTAGGGGTGCCTGGCTGGCTCAGCTGGTAAAGCATGTGACTCTTGATCTCAGGGTTGTGAGTTCAAGCCCCACATTGGGCATAGAGCTTACTTAAAAAAAATAATTTTACTTTAAAGAAAGTTAGTTTATGGAACATTCCAAATTGTTTCTAATGTGACTTATTTTTCCAAATGATCAGAATCTCATTAGTATTAAATGAAATCCAAAATGATTCTCCCTTATCTTCTATCCATGCTATTTTGATTATAGAACATCACAAAAAATTTCACCTTCAGAATAATTAAATACATATATTATGAAGGAGGTTTATATTTAACAAGCTATAAAAATAATTTGTATTTGGAATTTAGCTTCTTAGCACCATTATTAAACTTACAGAGAATTTATATTGCCCTGAACTATGTTGAAAAGCTATACAATAAGATTTCAGTTAATTGATACTATATTAGTACATACATATAATACTTACTTTGTATATATGTATCCTCACAGGTTTAAGTAGATCTATAACTGCAGTAGGGGACTTTGATTGTGAATGTTACTGAAAGCAGAATAGTGTCAGACAAAAGACATGATGTTTTATATCCTTTAATTAATTTATCTGTAATTATAGCTGCCGTTCCACCTTATGAAGTTATTTCACAAACTGATTTATTGTCAGATGTGGCATTGTCATAAATATTTGCTTACTGCACTCTTCGTAGAATCATAAATGTGTAATAGCCTTATTGGTGTTCACTCAATAACGCTTCTGGTAGTAATTACTGGGTCTACTCAATTCTGAAACACCATCTCCTTGAGATTCCCCTTTTTGAAAGTCCATTTTCCTTCTAATGTTTTTGCAGAGAAAGTTCATTGTGTTTCCTCATTTGTTTCATTATGGGAAACTTTGTTTCTTAAGTGGTTCAATACTTAGTCCCACTTCTCTGTCTGCCAGTTGCTGTGGTACCTGAGAATAAACTAAAGGTTGGTGTACTTTTTTGTAATGGGGATTTTTTTTTTTTCACTAGCAATGTGATTACAAAATTGTGTCAGTAAAATTTTAAAATTTTAAAATCTAGCTACAATAATGCCTTTCTTCCTTCCTTTAAACAGTAAAACTTCCAGGTCTCAGGACTTACGTTGACCCACACACATATGAAGACCCTACCCAAGCAGTTCATGAGTTTGCCAAGGAATTGGATGCCACCAACATATCCATTGACAAAGTTGTTGGAGCAGGTAACCACCACAGTAATCCCACTCTCAACCCCGTGTCAATTACAAGTTTACAACTATGAATAAGAATGCTGCCTGAGATCCCTCACGTTCCCAAGCCTAAGTTATATTGCTATGAAAAGGGACATTTTTTTTTTCCTGATTTCATGATCAAAGGCAGGCAAAAAGTAAATGAAGGAGTATCTAATGGAATGTAATGATTTCAAAGTTGCCAGACTTACAGACTCATAGACCATGGTCAGCTTTTTATTTATTGAATTTCAGAGCCGGCAGCCACAAGAGCTCAGTCCTCCCCTGGCAATGCTGATCAGGTGTCACAAAGCCTATTTGGCTAAATAGGGATAACAGGATAAAAGTGTCTTATTTTAAACAAGCTCACCACGTGAAAATTTTGATTTTGTAAAAAAGGTAATTTTAGAATCCTCTTTGGGATTAAAAAAAGAGACAACACGAAATAAAATCATAAATGACACATTTTACACAAATTTACTTAAAACTATTTTTGAGTGAATAGTTTAAGTAATGTAAAGTGCTCCATTTTAATAGTTGCCTGTAACTTTGTATAGTCTTAATTCATTTGTGTTGAAGCTTATTTTCATATAGACATCTCTTCATTCTAATCATGAATCTAGTCAATCATAGATCCATTAACAAATACCTGTGGATTGTTAATAGCAGTTGCATATTTCCAATAAAAATTATAGGTACTTATAAGTAATGATATTTATACATTTACACATAAATGTATGAACACTCACAGACATGCAGTGTGAGACTGAATAAAAACTACTATTTAAAAGTAAAAAACAATATTGTACAATAGTTTTATTCCATCATCTCATTAGTCACTATTGTTTTAAAAACAATTGCAAAGTTGATGTAGGGAATAGAAAGATTGAGAAATTAACTCATTGAATTATGCATAACATATCGGATCATGTTTTCTGCAAGTACTATATATATGACTGATGCTTCTTTACATAAATGTGCATATAATTTTCTCTGTTTCTGTTTCTGTACATCAAAGCAGTATTTAGAATTCTAGTGGTATTTGCTATTCAAGCAGGACAAGCTGAGTAATTCATATTATCTAAATAAGATGATAATTCACTAAATCTTCTCCTCTAACTTTATTAATATTTTATCCTCCTAAAACTCACATGTGCAGGGGCGCCTGGGTGGCTCAGTCATTAAGTGTCCACCTTTGGCTCAGGTCCTGATCCCAGGGTCCTGGGATCGAGCCCCGCATCAGGCTCCCTGCTCCACGGGAAGCCTGCTTCTCCCTCTCCCACTCCCCCTGTTTGTGTTCCCTCTCTCGCTGTGTCTCTCTCTGTCAAATAAATAAATAAAATCTTTAAAAAAATACTCACATGTGCAGGTAATAGTAAAATATGGAACTAGGAATTCATAAAAGGAGAATAGAGTATGTGTTTCTTTTTCCAAAATCGAAGACTTAAGAATATACACATTCATCATATACCCATGTTAATCCAGTTAAAACAAATATATATTGATTACTCTCTTTCATTTGTACACTTCTGCTTTGTAAACTGCTCTGTGGTGCAGAGAGCTTTTGTCGTGCTGGTGTTAATGTCCCACAAGAGTGCACTGTTCTCTAACGTGGAAACCTCGGGAGCATAGGTAGCACAAAACCTTTGCACGCTCAACTGATGTGAGGAGGAGAAATCCACTTATGCTTAGCCAGTGTCCAGAAGGCTAGACAGACATTTGGGACCTTGAACTTTGGGACCCTCTGCATTAGTAAAAGCTTAAATATATCGATGTTATTGATAACACCAGATATCTAGAACACAGTGGTGTGAGACAAAACACACTCATTAAAAATGGTATCTGATAAATGAGATAAAAGGAAAGGCTACTTACACTGACTCAGTTAATAATCCCTGATGCTTATTAAAGATCAGGACAAATCATCTTTTTTCATTTCTCTCTTCAAACATATTTGTAAAAAAATAGACATATGCCCCATTTTCAGGGTTGTGTAGCCAATATCCTCATTTGCCACATTCAGGGCAATAATACTGTGCCTGCTTTGCTTGCAAACAAGTAGATCTTCAAGGTCAATTATACCTCTCCTGGAAGATCTCAATATAATTTGTACACCCAGTTCTAGTCTGTCTTGATTCGCCTTTCAAGGGTTTGTCATCACCAAGATAGAATAAGAGATTGAGATTTTGAAAGCTATCAATTTTTCTTAACATTTTGTTTTACAAAATGTAAAATATCTACAAAAGTAGAGGAAATTGTATAATAGTATAATGGAGAGTATAGTATAACAGTACCCATTTCCACAACAACTTCAATAACAATCTATTCCTGGCCAGCCTTCTTTCATTTATACACTTACTCATTTCCTATATCCTTTTACATTTTTAAAAGTAATGTTGTCCATAAAAATTTAATAATTGTGCTAAATTGATTAGCAATTATCTTTCATTGCTGCAAGACTGAATCTTTCAAAGACAAAACTTTCCCAGTCAATTAAATATGCAGAAAGACTCTATATATGTCAGCCAATTCTCTAAGTTTCTGTCAGAGATTTTATACAAAGAAATAGATATAACGGAAACTCTCATTTATACTTTGGCTAATCGGAAAATTAAGCCCTTATTGCAAATAACAAAATTAAAATTGAACCATAAATTTACTTTCTCAAAGTAGTAAATTTTTTAATAATGGAATTCATAATGACTAAAATTCCCAGTTCTATTCCTCCATCCAACCATTATTTCAAAGATTAAATACTGAAAATTTCTGAAAGTAGAATATATTCGTTTAATTCTCTATACTATGCTAGGCATTCACATGATATTTAACTTTATTAGCCTATTGGATAGGCATTGTCTCCATTTCACCAGATGAGGAAATAATAGCTAAAAATCTGGATGACCTATAGTTACATAGTTACTAATTGAAAACCAAAATTTGAATCTTTTACTTTTCTTTTTTAAAGATTTTATTTATTTATTTGAAAGAGAGAGAAAGAGAGAGAGAGAGAGAGCACATGAGAGGGGGGAGGGTCAGAGGGAGAAGCAGACTCCCTGCCGAGCAGGGAGCCCGATGCGGGACTCGATCCCAGGACTCCAGGATCATGACCTGAGCCGAAGGCAGTCGCTTAACCAACTGAGCCACCCAGGCGCCCCGAATCTTTTACTTTTCAATTTCAAAGTCCATAGTAGACACTAATAATTACAGTAGTGCCTTCATCTAACATTTTTGTGAGGATTGTGGTAATTCCTGTTAATGTGCAGTGCTTAGCTGACACATTAACATTGTTCTATACGTATTTTTATTAAGCTTCTCTTATTAAAATAGTAGGAGGAGAGTGGAATTTGAAGCCAAGGCAGAGTGTATTCTACTTAAACGCAAGTAGATTTTTTCCTCTATTTTAAATAACATGAGTGTAAGAAATTTTACTTTGAGCAATTTTGCATTGTACATCTTAAATCGGAATACAGTGTGCCCATTCTCATAAAGCATAGTTTATTTCAAAGGACAAATAAAACCTGCTGCACTTATTGGATTTAAAAAATCAAGCAGTGCCTTCCAAGTGATTCTTGTAGTTGTGTTTTAACTTAGAAATAATGAGAATGACAGGATCTAAGTTTTCTTTCTTATAGGTTCAAAGTTAATTGAATAAGACCGTGTAAAATTTGACTAGATGGAAAGATCGACCATTGTGTTTGCCCAATCTTTGTTAATTTTTCCAACAGAGTTGTTTTAAGTTATTATAAAGAGAACTGAATTAATAGTTAACATTTCTATGTTTAGTATAATATATTGGTGACCATTTCTAGTATTTATATGATGAAATAATCACATTTCAAAATTCTGGGGTTTTTAAAAATTAGCATTACTGAAACATCATTTTCTGAATTTTGGAGGTAGATAGACATTTACATATGTCAGATATCCCATGGAGAAGAAAGAAAGGAACTCTCATTGACCCACTTGAAATTCAAACTCTTCCCCATCACCCCAGTGAGGTACTTTTACAAAATACTCTCCTTTACAAATACTTGTCCAAGGTGACATTAACCTTGCTGTCACCATCATCATCACAGCAACCTCTTCTCACATCGATATAAAACTTGACAATTTAAAAAGCATTTTTATATTTGTGCTTCAATTTGATCTAACTCTTCAGAGGTAGATAGATAATTTATCCTTCTTAAGGTGGGTCTGAACTCAGAGAGGAAAATACTATGTGTCTTTACATACATTCATTCCTTTAATTGCACAAAGACCTTATGAGTTAGACACAATTGGTATTGCCAAGTTATAGATAAGGAGACAAAGGCACAGAGAGGTTAAGATGCTTGCTCAAAATCACACGACTGATAGGTGACGGAGGAAATTAGGCCCTAGAATCCATACTCTGTCCCACAGTTCTATACTGTCTGTCCTGCAATCTGTTGACAAGTGATTTGTTGTCTAGAATAAGTGGTGATAACATCAAAATTTAAAACATGATCCATTACAGCATTTTGACTCATGATAATGGCAGAACTTTCTTTCAGAAAATTAAAGTTTATTGTGGATCATTCCTTACGGTTTGCTCAAACTTAATGTTTACACAACATGAACTGGAGCTCTCTGGCAATGTTCTAATAACCCAATATCAGGAAAGGAATGCTTATTCTTTTTAAAAATATATTTTATTTATTTATTTGAGAGAGAGTGTGCACATGTGTGCACACAAAGGGGGGTGCAGAGGGAGAGGGAGAAGCAGACTCCCCTCAGGGCAGGGAGCCTAATGCGGGGCTTAATGCCAGGAACCCAAGATCATGACCTGAGCAGAAGGCAGACAGATGCTTAACCAGCTGAGCCACTCCCAGGGACACTTACTCTTGCTTACAGATTCTAACAATGATTTACTTTGCATCATAACCTCTCCCCCTATTACTCACACTCTATAATGACATATTCTCCCTTGGATTTCAAAAGTCAATGGAATGCTCTCAAATTCTACCCCTGATTCTCCCTGTAATCCGAAAGAACACTCTAGCTACAGATATCGTTATTTTCTCTACACTCCCTCAAAAGGAAGAAATGAGATCTGCCTTATTTAGCATTATAACTCTGTGTTTTTCAATGTGTCTGTCATACTGTTGCCAATTGATGAGTATTTATTTTAAAAAAATGTATAAATAACTGCTTTTGGACCTTAAGTGACTTTGATAAGTTACAGCATAAGTCATTGTTTTGGAAAAAGAGACAAAACTGGATTCCTGAGAAAGGGTCAAGTCTGGGGGAGTTTAGAGCTTCCTGGAGAGAAGCGAGTTATTTGTAGTAATGCAGCTGGTAAATCAATAGGATAACCTGCTGCTTTTGTGGGTTGAAGCACTTGCTTGAACAAAATATAGAAAAGAAGCATCTCACTTCTTGACAGCTTCTCTCTGGCTGATCCAGGGGGCAAGGAGCTGGTATAAAAACTCACAGTGAGAAGGTTGGACCAAGAATGCGCTTCCATTCCGTAGATACCCTAATAATTGTGTAATTCATCCTTTTTAGAAAAACCTCTCATTTGATATTTAAAAAAAAAACACATTTTAAGATGTTATACAAATCAGATCTGATAATCCACATAATATTAGGATTTCATCTATAAACAAAGAACATTCTACGGGTGGCACTCCTTTGTGGCAATTACCATGGCAAGCAGTGGGTCAGAGAAATGGATGTAGAAGTTCTCTGCCCTCAGGAAGCTCAAAATATGATGCAAGAGTTATGGATAAATCTTCTCAATAACAATATATATGAAGTCAGTGCCCAAACTAGTTCTAGGCAGCTTTAGATTAGTTGGCTTAGACTATTTAAAAGTCAGCAATACTCCATATTCAGTAAATTCTGGGTTAATCATGCATTTAAGACAAGTTTTTATTGAAGACATTGAATCTAAGAAAATTTTTATAGTGAGTCTATAGAAAAGATTGCTACCTTTTTTTTTCATACTAGTATTTTCTCCTTCCTTCCAGAAGCTCAGAGAACTTTACAACTAGTATGTCAGTAATGCAACATGCCAATACTCCAATAAAATGAATTGGTAGGAGATGCTTCTGTTCTCATTTTCAGAGAGTCTGAGTATATTGCTAAATTGGTTCTCTTAGTAATAACAGAATGGCTAGAAACATCTGAAATTTAATCTATTGCTCAACCCATAATATCTGTGTTGGTCTGTTGATTATCCTCAGGAAATGGTAGCTATGATGACAAGGAGTTAAAATCCTATTAGATAGAGCTTTCAACTTTCCTCTTGTTCTTTCATATTCTATTATTCACAATGCGGTACTTGAAAATGTATGAGGCTACTCACAAGGTCCATTTTCCATAGAGTGTGGATGTCCTGAGGTTTCTTAGGGAGTCTCTGATTATCATCTTCTGAAATAAATTGAAGGCCTACAGTGTACATCTTGCGGGTCAAAGGTGTAAATATTTTGAATGGGATTATTGAGAGGAAACAGTTGCTTTCTACTGATACCTTTTTATTATATAATTCCTTACCTTTTGTTGTTGTTCTGTTCTTCCAACAGGTGAATTTGGAGAAGTGTGCAGTGGTCGCTTAAAACTTCCTTCAAAAAAAGAGATTTCAGTGGCCATCAAAACCCTGAAAGTGGGCTACACAGAAAAGCAGAGGAGAGACTTCCTGGGAGAAGCAAGCATTATGGGACAATTTGACCATCCCAACATCATTCGACTGGAGGGAGTTGTTACTAAAAGTAAGTCAAGTCAAAAGACAGACTTTTGCCTGTGTTGAGCAGAGGTTATTTAAACCCAAACTCAGTCATTAAAGAATTTTGATTTTTTTTATAGCTGTCAGTCCTAACAGAAAGACTAGTTTGGGATTAACCTGTCTTTCTTTGACAGAAAAGCAAAGATACTTAAGTAGTAGTATATTGAAAGTGTTATTCTAGATCTTTAAAGATTGGAAAAAAATTAGGAGCTGAAAAAATTGGACTGTATTAAGACACACTGATGAAAAGATAGTTAAGTGAATTGTGGAGAAGTCTCTGTTACGTAAAGTAGCAAGGAAAAACAATGACTCAATTTTGACAGGAATTGCTGGGAACTCCCAGCTAGCTGCCTTTTCTTTTACTGTTCACCAGTTTCAGTTAAACTTCCAAATCTTTACCCCCCTGGCTTTAGGAAAATTATGGGAGTTTGGGGACTGCTTCTGAGCTGTAAAGATTGGGATCACATTAGACCCAAGGCCTTTTCCTGGTTCTCTGTGGATTTCAAATAATTCTAATCTAGAGTCCCAGATGCATTTTTGACTGGTCTGGGGAAACCCTGGCTCACAGCCCACAATAGAGATCTGAGCTTATTTCCATGATAATTTCTCCAGCCAGACTCAAGAGGAATCCTGTGAGGCAGATATGTGATTTTTGGCTCCAGTACCAATGAAAACCTCTTGAGAATGTTCTAGGATTTTTTTTTTTCTTCAAGATTTTGGAGCACAGGGTGAAGAATAAGCTAAATTGGCAGCAAACTACTTAGAGCGAAAGACAACATATGGCAGGAAACTTGGCATCCTTTAGGGGATAATTCATTGGCACCACATTTACATATTCTATGGTTACCAACAGACATTACACATTATATTTTTCACAATGATATTTTTCTTTAACATTACACGGAGCACTTTCCAAATGGCACTAATACCTATTCTCATCTTAGTGTGACTAAAAAGGCAGTTCCTTTCTCACAGAGCAGGGTATAATTGAAATGTATTTTGATTTCCTTTGGATTTTTCTTATATAATAAATGGGATTCAGAACTGAGTAATGTAGGGGCGCCTGGGTGGCTCAATGGTTAAGCGTCTGCCTTCGGCTCAGGGTCCTGGGATCGAGCCCCGCATCGGACTCTGCTCGGCGGGAAGCCTGATCTCCCTCTCCCACTCCCCCTGCTTGTGTCCACTCTCTGGCTGTCTCTCTCTCTGTCAAATAAATAAAATCTTAAAAAAAAAAAAAAAAGAACTGAGTAATGTAGAATTAAACCATAAACTGTAAGCCCATATTAAGTATGGTAAAAAGCATTTTTTCCTTTGTACTCCTAAGTATTAGGCCATACTAGTAGTAACTCTGAAATATTCTTTTTTTTTTAATTTTTTTTTATTCTTATGTTAATCCCCATACATTACATCATTAGTTTTAGATGAAGTGTTCCATGATTCATTGTTTGTGCATAACACCCAGTGCTCCATGCAGAATGTGCCCTCCTCAATACCCATCACCAGGCTAACCCATCCTCCCACCCCCCTCCCCTCTAGAACCCTGTTTGTTTTTCAGAGTCCATCGTCTCTCATGGTTCGTCTACCCCTCCGATTTCCCCTGCTTCATTCTTCCCCTCCCGCTACCTTCTTCTTCTTTTTTTTTTCTTAACATATATTGCATTATTTGTTTCAACTCTGAAATATTTTCTGAAGAAGAACATTTTTTAACTTTTTAAAATTAATAAAAAAAACTGTTAGTAGTAGTAAGGATTGGGAAAATGTTCAAATCCTTTGTTCCTTCAGGGCAAGAGCATACTACTTAATGCCATAATTCTTAATTTTATGTCTCACTGGTGTTTTAATAATCAATTAGCCATTTATTCTCCTTTATATCGTCCTCACCAAGTGGTTGTCCTTCAGTTCTTGAGCCCCCCCTTGGGGAGGAAACTTATTTGTGCTTGTATAGCCATTTTTCTTTTAACTCAATTTTCGTAAGTTTTTTTTTTACAAGGTTTTCTTTATGAGTTGACTATTGTGTGCCAGACGTTGTACTATGGATGTCATTTCATTATTACCACTACCCTGTGAATTAGATACAATAATTCCATTTGCATTTGAACAGAAGATAACTATAAAGAGCAAGCAGCCTGTCTAACTAGAAAGTTCTGGAGATAGCATTGGAAATTTGGTCTGTTGGTTTCACCTCTTGTCCCCAACAATGGACAAAAATGAGTTTCTAATTTTCATTTTGTATTCTACTTATTCTTTTATATCTTGATTTTTTTAAAAAAAGATTTCCCTAATAATTTGATCATAGCAAGGAATCCCTCAAGCTTCAAAAATTTTCTGGAAAGAATTAATAACCCTTAATACCTAAAACAAAATGTGAACTCTCATAAAGGGAAGAATCCATGTTATTTTTAAGCAGTGATGAAAATAGAAACTGGATCATACTAGGTTCTTAATTTACCAATGTTAAGGAATTAAAAAAATTAATTGATTGAATGGACAAAAGAGCAATATCTTCTACCTATAGGTCTTTCTTTGGTGTTGGTTCATTAAATTGAATGCATGCTTCAAGGAAGTGCAATTGTGTAACTGCGTGCATCAGTCAGGGAGTGATGGAAAACATCATTATATTTTAGCATGGGCAGAATTATCACCTAACTTCTCCAACACCTACACCTAATAAAAAATGACGAAAGTGACTATCAAGATAAATATTAGATTTAAATTTAATTTTGTTTATTGATAGGCTCTTATGAATCATAGAACACTACATCAAAAACTAATGATGTAATGTATGGTGATTAACATAACAAAATAAAAAATGTAAAAAAAAGAAAATTGATTTTTTCGTTTCCAGTGTTAATAAATTATTGAAAATAACCTGTTTTTTGTGCTAGCTGTTACCTATAAATTCATTCACTGAATGATGAGCAACATTAAACCATAATTATTATGGCAGGTTTTCTTTAAATATTAAAATGAAATAATCAAATATGAATTATGGTCAGCTGGAAAAGAAATCCATAAAGCAATACCCAAGACCAAACTGCAGAAAAAGAATGCATTAAGGAAAAAAAATGCTTTAAAAATCATAGGTATTATACATTAAATTCCTTATTCAAGTCTGATTTTTGTAACATTCTAATGTGGATTACAATTGCCTTATTCTTAGAGTGAAAGTTCTAAATTTGATAAATCTCCCTGGTCAAATAAGCATGTAAAAGGCTGCCAAATCTGACTATATAGATCCCAGTCATCTCATATAGTGCGAACATAATAGAGTAGCAGACCTAGATTAGATTTTGAACTCTTTTAGTGGCATATTTAAAAGCTCTAAGTCTGGTACCCTATAACATCTGAGAGGAAATAGAAATGCCTTAAAATGAAGTTAATATGTTGCACTGAACATATAAATAAGGCAATTTTGTCACCAGAAGTTATGCATCCACTCCTATTATTTTCTTTGTTTCCTGAGAATATATGACTGCTAAAACAATCTAATTGCAAAGTTCAGAAACACACACAGCAACACCCAAGAGTGATGCATAGCTTATAATTTAATGAACAAAATTGTGTTTAAAGAAGAAAACCAATTATATCAGTATCCGGATTAAGAATTAGAGGGCCAGAGTTCAAGTTTTTACTCAACTCAACTGGTTGTGAGACCTCTGGCAAATCAAACCACTCACAGAGACTCAGTTTCTTCAATTGTAATTCAGAATAACAGTTCTACTTCACTATTTCTAAATACTTTAAAGATCAAATAAGATTATATAGGAATACATTGTTAAGTTATGAAAATCTAAATTACCACTTCTGGTAAGTTTGAGAATTTATTAGTTAATCTTGGCTGTATAGAAAAAAAACATTCTTGAAAGCAATTCTTTTTTTTTTTTTTGCCCATTAATAATTCTTTTTAATATTGCTATTAATTATATGCTTGAAACACTACGTCTGTTATAAGATATCATTTTCAAGTCATTTAGAGAAAGCCCTCTATTCAATCATTATATTTCCATTTATTTGAATTGAACCATAAACAATTTTAATGATACGTTTTGAGCTTGATGGTCTTAAACAAGAGAAGGTGAGAGAGTCTCTGATCTTCAAAGTAGCAGAAAGCTGGGGGCATAGTCTCTGCTCAGAACTTGGTACTAACATGTGTTACCAATTTTAGTTGAAGTTCAAAAAGATGGAACTTGTTTTTAGCAAATGTTTGATATTTCTGCCATCACACCATTAGTCAAATGATGGTCCTACTCCAAGAAGACCCTCATTGACCACTTTTTACCTAGTGAAATAGAAGGAATTATATAAGACTGATGTGGTTTTGTTGGTATTTGGGGAGGAATTATTTTCTGAAAACTAAAAAAAATAATAATGTAGTGTAATTGTAACTTTGCATCATTAAGGAATATAGTGAGCAGAACATTAGGATAATTTCTCATGATTAAAATATTTCTATAATGGTGTGAGCATCCACTTTACAGCAAAGGCTTTGTCATTTATTCGCACCTTTCTATCTCCTGCACATATGATAAAAAATATTGCTGAAATAAAATGTCATTCTGTGGTGACTATGCCAAATTCTTGCTATGTCCTGTTTGCTTCTCTCTGAAAGTTTTCTTCTGCACTTCTAATTCCCTGTAATATTCAAAATAGACAATATGTATGTTATATGTATTTTATTAATAATTTATAGAAATAGTTTGTTAGAATAAACTCTGATGACACAAGTTCTCATGCATTCATGCCTAATTTGAGAAAGGAATTGAGAACATCTCTATCCAAGTGTTTACAACAATGAAATTAGGGAAGTCTTTCAAATATATTGGAGAAAAAAATAAGATAGAGAATGCTATTTTTACACATTTAAGAATTTTCCTTATTTCTTCAACATTGTGCATTTATATTTCTTGGTTGAATTGGCCACATTTGAATTACAAAAAAAAAATGTGTATTTTCCCCATTTAGGTAGGATGGGTTTATGATATTTTT